GTGTGTGTGTGTCTGTGTGCGTGTTCCCTCCTGCCTGCATGTGTGTGTGTGTCTGTGTGTGTGCGCGTGTTCCCTCCCACCTTTGTGTGTGTGTGTGTGTGTGTGTGTGTGTTTGTCTAGGCAGAGTGTGCTTCTCTCCATAGCCACCAGCTGTCCGTGTGAATGGGTCGGAAATCTGACAGTCTAGGCAAGCAGCAGCGTTTTAAAAGTTTTAAAGACTGATAATCTTTATGTTTTTTTTTTTTAAATATTTTGTTGTTTCTCAACCTGACTTAGCGTCTGTTTCACGGTCTGTGTCAGGGAGACTACAACAGAATACAGCTTGTTTGTGTGTGTGTGTGTGTGTGTGTGTGTGTGTGTGTGTGTGTGTGTGTGAGAGAGAGAGAGAGAGAGAGCACCTGTCCTCAGGTTGTTTGTGTGTGTGTCTGTGTGTGTGTCTGTTGCTGTATCCACGCTGGTGCACAATGCCCCCCCCCCCCCGTATGTTCTGGTGGCGGTGCTGTGACAGGATGGAATGGTTCTAATTTCCTCTTCCTGGTGGGCGGCCGGCGGACGTGTGGGCAGGCTATGAAGGTGGCAGCAGGCCCAGCTTCCTGGGCCAAAAGAAGGGGATTGGTCAGAGTGCAGGACCATCCCAGGACAGCGTGCACACACACACACACACACACACACATACAGATGTACTCACAGTCCTTTGGGGAACTCGCAGAATTCAGATTCATGCAGCCCTCGACTTTTCAATAATGGAGATACCTTCCTTGTGATCGCCGACTGGAGTAACGGACTCCAGCGTTTCCCCCCTTTTCACTCAGAAATAACAACTCGGGACACGGAGCCTGACGCCCTCCTCAAGGTGCTTAAATTAAAGCCTTAAGAATTCATCCTGACCGTCTGAGTTACGGCGCTCTGCATCAGGCCGCTCTCAGCACAAAGCTTTCCATTAGCGTGAAAAAAGCTAATGTCAATATTTCTTCTTCTGTTTCGGAAGGTGCCCCCCCCCCATCAGTTTTTCCTATTTAAGATGCTTGAGAGGACAGGCGGCCTCCGCAATAGCCGCGCTGTGGCGTCCCGTTAATGGAAGAGCACGTCTGCCCTTTAATTGCACGATCGCTAATTCGCCGCTGTTTAATAGCCAGGCAGGCGGGCCGCTTCCCGCATCGGCCGTCTGAATAGAGGCGCATGAATGGCTGTGGGATGGAGGCCCGGCCAGAGCTGTTAAACTAACAAAAACCACACGGGGAGCTGGGGGGGGGGGGGGGATGGGGGGGGTAGATCGTCATACTCGCAGAGTTAGCTAGTAACTACTGTGTAAGTGTGTGCAGACGCGCTACACAGATTTTCATACTGAATCGCACCGTCTGAACCGTCTTCCTGACCCCATAAACCTGCTTAAATCCTTCTTCCTCCTCTTTTCCTTCTTCGTACCCCCCCCCCCCCCCCCCCCCCCACACACACACACACCTCCGT